GCAGCCCAATAGAAAGGAAAAGCATAGTGTTTACCTAGTTTAGGCATGTCTTCAATAAGCTCACATGGCCTTGACAGCTCGGAACTTCCTCGCTTCCGATTCGCCAATGACGATTCCTTGTCCAACGAGGAAGAACAACCGGCGCCTGTTCGCAAAAAGGCAATTAAAAATAGAAGAAGCAGTATTCCAGATGCATTCTCTGTTAGTTTCAGGACATTACATAAACTCGTCTAGAATTACATTTACTTTACAGTTCCAAACAACTGCAATTCTGCAAGAAGCAGCGCGTAAGTTTATGAGAGATAAGAGCAGCGATAGGAAGCTTGCGCAGTCTCGTGCTCGACCGCCTGAGGTGACGCAACTGCTTCCAAAAAAAGGAGATCAGAAGAAAGTTTCAGCAACGAAAACTCTGCACGTAAGCCGTAATTTCAATCTTCATGATTTCTTTCCTCAAAGCATCAGTTTCAGTTGAATGTCTACGATCTGCCTGATGTAGAAGAGAAAGGCGAGGATGGAACATTCTCGCCTCCAAAAGTAAAGAATGAAAACGAGGACAACTGCTATGCAAATCCTACAAAACAACAAAATAATGTCAGTACATCATACATTTTCCTCTTTCGTTCCCTAATAGGTTCTTTTTCAGAATCTCACTGCTTTGATTACTGCAAATTCAAATCCTTTGACTGTTACAACCGAAACCCCTCAGGACATCTCGCTTTGGTGGGAAGTTGTCACACATTTAGGATGAAATTGTCATTCCAAAAAAACTCTCGGGTATCTGCAAATAGGGTTGACAACATGAGAAGCTCTGTGATTTGAGACTATTACTTATTTTATCCTCATTTCTAACATATTGCTTTGAGTATAGATCACGCTCATTTTGTGTTTTGTCTATTTATTCGTTGTATGCTTTATTGTTTATTAAATTGTTGATGTCATTTGATTTTGTATTTATTTAAGCATAAAAATGCATAATTATGTATAAGCTGCATGCTTCTCTGGTATACACTGCATTATGAAGTATTAGCTGGCAAACCCAGCTACGCTCGCCATCTAT